GGCGGCCCCCACCCCCCCCCGTAGGCAGAGTCCGGGGCCGGGCCAGCTACTGCAGCTACAGTTCTGGCATCGAGTCCCAGGATACTCGGCCCTGGGGTCCCCGCCCACTTCCTGAGGGTTGGGGCAGGGTACTGAGCAGTGGAGCCCAGACCCTCGCCTGCCCCCCTGGGCTACCCTGACGGTCTTGCTCCCGCCTTGGGTGGCAGAGGACGGACATCCTTGTAGAGCTGACCAAGAGCCAGAAGGTTTTCTCAGAAAAGCTGGACCACCTGAGCCGCCGCCTCGCCTGGGTCCACGCCACCGTCTACTCCCAGGTGAGGCGCGGTCCTGGCCAGTGGCCGCCCCCTCCGTCTGGACCCTGGTGCTCCTGGGCAGCTCTACCCCACCCCCTCAGGCCCCCTCACACCTCAGCCACCTCCTTGTGCCTCCCGTGCCCCATGGACTGAGGAGGTGGCATCTTCACTCCCAGTGGGCCGCTGGCTCCCTGGTTCCTCTGGTGACGAGCAAGCTCCATGCACCCCTCCTGCTGCTCCACCCCTCGGCTCCTTGAACCCCGTGTCCTCTCCTGCACCTGGGCCTCTGGGCGCCCGGTGAGCCTCCTCCCCTCCTGCGTCTGCTCTGACTTACCCGCTGCTCCAGCCCTGGCTCGCTCACTGCTCACGGCTCGCTGCATTCACTCAGCAGCACGTGGCTGCGCCCAGGCTGTGCCGGGACCTCTGGGGTCTAGGGACCCGCTTCCTGAGCCAGGAAGACGGGCTGCTGTCCTCCCAGGGCACTTGGCCTGGTGGGGTGGAAGGATGGACAGACCAACAGTGTGCCCCGCCGGGCCAGAAGTTGACCCTGCCGCAGCCGTTAGTGTTCTCCCCCGGCCCCTCCTGGCGCTTCTCCAGAGCGAGTGCCTGGGCTCTCGCAGGTGCCCACGTCCCGCGTCTGCTTCCTGGGCGTGTGTGTGGGCACGTGCACGGGTGCTTTAGGCGCATCTTGCCGTGTCGCCGCCCTCCCGCCTGGGCCTCCACAGAGGCTGGGACCACCAGCATACATACCACACCAGGCCTCCCCTGTGGCCTCAGCCTGCCTGTGGCCAGGCACAGTGCCAGTTGCTGCTTTTTTATGGACTTATTTCTCCCCTAAGGGTACCCCAGTGGGGTTTCAGCGCACAGCGCACCCTAGCGTCGGTAGCCCTGGAGCGTGGGGGCGCCTGCGCCCAGCTGCTGAGGGAGTCTCTGGCCGGGAACCCAGGGCCTCCCTGTGGGGGCCAGCCTCACGGGGAATCTTGTCTTACCTCCGTGCCACCATCCCACCCCGCCTTCATTGTGTGTCATGAGCATAGCCAGTTTTCCCAGCGCCACTGGGAAGAGACTGCTTTCTCTGTTGGACACCCTTGGCACCCTTGTTGAAAATGACTCGAGGGTGTATTTCTGGGCTCTGTTCTCTTCCACGGTCTCCACGTCTGTTTTTACGCCAGTGCCACATGGTTGTGATGGCTACAGCTGAGCGATCCGTCTGTGTGTGTGTGCCGGGGGACCGAGCACTTGCCAGAGAGACAGAGAGATAAAGATAGAGAGGAGACAGCACCCTACGGGGAAGGGCCGCACCACAATCCCGTCTCCATTTCTCCCTCCTTTTGGGATTTTGGACACACATGCACACACATGTACACCTGAGTGGTTTTCAGGCCACTGGGTCGGTCTGGGACTCAAACTGTAGTCAGCCACGTGGGACCTGACCGCCCTGTGCCAGGCCACAGAGCCACCGGCCCAGTAGGTTTTCATTTTAAATGTATCTGTCCCTCCCACGAACAAGAGAGCCCACACAGGGCCTTGATGCCGTGGCTCACCCTGGAGCGTGGGCGTGGGTGGCACAGACTTCCCTGTGGGGGGTCGCCTCTCAGCCTGGCATTTTCCTGCTAATCTGCCATCGACATATAAGAAGGTTTTTTCTTTCTTAAGAATTATTTTATTGGTTTTAATTTGACCAGAGAGGGGCAGAGTAAGAGAGAGAAAGGAAAAGTGAGAAAGCAAGCCACCAGGTCCAAGACTCGAACCACAGTCAGCCACGTGGGAGTCCAGCACCCTTACCCACTAAGCCACCTGCTGCCTCCCCCCCTTTTTTTTCTTTTTTTGGAGAGGTTTTTGCTACAGGGCACATGCACTCGCCAGACAGACAGAGAGAGACAGAAAGTGAGAAATCACCGCCCAGAGGGGATAGCCACGCTGCAATCCCTTCTCCTCCATTCTCCTCTTGGGCACACACGCACACACGCCTGGCGTGAGTTTAAACCACCGGGTCCGGGACTCGAACCGCATTCGACTACGTGGCAGCCCAGTGACATAACCATCGTGCCACCCAGTATGCTGGTCCCTGCAGTAAGTTTTGAAATCAGGAAATGTTGGACCCTTATCTTAAATTTCATATGAATGCCGACTCAAAGTGGGTCACGATCCGTCTCCACTGGCCCCCACGGCCCCTCCTGCCCTAGGCTGTGTTCAGCACAGACTTCCCGTCCATTGTCACGTGCACCACCCGGGGATCGGGTCTGGGGCGCCCCGCTCGCCTCTGCCGCTGCCTCTGCTCTGTTCACGCTGCCTGCAGCCCAGGTCTCGGGTGCGAGGCCACCCTCCTGGCAAGGCCTCCCCTGGCCCCCAGCCCGGGTGAGAGCCCTGCCTGCAGCGCCGTGTGCCCCTGCAGGAGAAGATGCTAGACATCTACTGGCTGCTGCGCGTCTGCCTGCGGACCATCGAGCACGGCGACCGCACCGGCCCCCTGTTCGCCTTCATGCCGGAGTTCTACCTGAGCGTGGCCATCAACAGCTACAGCGCGCTCAAGAATTACTTCGGCCCAGTGCACAGCATGGAGGAGCTGCCAGGTGTGCCCTGTTCGGGCTGGGAGGGTCGGGCCCTGGTCTGAGCCAGTCGGAGGAGGGAAGGCAGCGCCTGCCGGGGGTCCGGCCTGGTCCCGGCAGCTGCAGGACCGTGGTTCTGGGCGGGGCCGGGCTGGGCAGTGTATGTGGGGTCAGGCGCTGCCCAGGGGTGCAGGCTTTGCCTTCAGAGGCTGCAGTGCCCTGGGCTCAACCCCGGCTTGCCGAGTGTGTGCTGAGCTGCTTTGAGCCCAGGTCAAGGCTCTTGTCAGGACCTGCCCTCCCTGCAGGGGGCCTGTGCTTCAGTCCCCAGCTGCCAGTGGACACTTGGCCTGATGTCCCCGATCCCAGCCTGGGTCCAGACTGGCCCTCGGAGCCAGCCATGGAGCCCACTGCCCAAGCCCACCCCACCAAGGGCCCAGCTGCCTCGGAAGCCCCTGCCCGCGGCCGGCATTCTCACCACCCACCCTCGCAGGCTACGAAGAGACCCTGACACGCCTGGCTGCCATCCTGGCCAAACACTTTGCCGACACCCGCATTGTGGGCACCGGTGAGGCACCCTCTACGGATGGCCTGGGCGCGGGGATGGGGTGTGCACTGGGCCGGCAGTTCCCACACACAGTGTGACCGGGACACGAGCACGGGGCTCCTACCCGGCACCTGCTGAGGCCCGGTCCGTCCCGACAGATATCCGCGACTCGCTGATGCAGGCGCTGGCCAGCTACGTATGTTACCCACACTCCCTGCGGGCCGTGGAGCGGATACCCGAGGAGCAGTGAGTGGGGCCGGGGGCCACACCCCTGTCCTGCACCACCCCATGCCCGGCCTCACCCTGTGCTTTCACAGGCGCGTGGCCATGGTGAGGAGCCTCCTGGCACCCTATGAGCAGCGGCCCTGGGCCCAAACCAACTGGATCCTGGTGCGGCTCTGGAGGGTAAGCCCAAGCACAGTGGAGGGGTGAGGCTGGCCAAAGGACGGGTGGCCCTTTCCCACTGACCCCTGCTGACCTCCCCCCAGGGCTGCGGGTTCGGGTACCGCTATACACGACTGCCTCACCTGCTGAAAACCAAACCCGAGGACGCCAACCTGCCCAGCCTCCAGAGTGAGCACCCAGCTCGGGCTGCACGGCCGAAGCGTTCAGCCTTGCAGCTCCCCCCCACAAGCCCTCCCCTCGATTCAGCCCGAGGGCATGCTGGTCCTCTCTGCTCCGCAGCCCCGTGTGCCCTCAGCCCGAGTGGTCCTCGCCCCCCCAGCCTGCTCTCCGGCCTCCAGCCTGGCCCCAGTGCCATGTCCTT